CTGAAACAATTCAATCAAAACATTAGAATACCTTACACTTTTTGTTAGGTGTTTGAGGACATGCTTTCAAATAAACATTGCAGAATAGGAGACATTGTTTCTCCACGATGTTAAAAAAATTAGTAGTCCTCATTTTCTAATGCAGGCTGCAACTGATCCATATACCTAACTTGGTTACCCCCCTTTTCGTAGCCTAAAATGTTGAAGTGAGGTTGAGAAAACAGTGGAAGAGTTGCAGCTTGCCAGTACCAAAGAAATAAAAAAAATATCCATGGATTCGAAAGTCTTCAGAGGTTAGTCTTTTCGGTGAAACAAAGTCGACGACGAAGTTTATCTGAAACAATTCAATCAAAACATTAGAATACCTTACACCTTTTGTTAGGTGTTTGAGGACATGCTTTCAAATAAACATTGCAGAATAGGAGACATTGTTTCTCCACGATGTTAAAAAAATTAGTAGTCCTCATTTTCTAATGCAGGCTGCAACTGATCCATATACCTAACTTGGTTACCCCCCTTTTCGTAGCCTAAAATGTTGAAGTGAGGTTGAGAAAACAGTGGAAGAGTTGCAGCTTGCCAGTACCAAAGAAACAAACAAAAATATCCATGGATTCGAAAGTCTTCAAAGATGAGCGTCTTCGCTGGAACAAAATCGACGATGTCTATCTGTAACAATTCAATCAAAAATAGAGAATAAGACTTGAAAACAGCTTTTCTGCGTTTTCAGTAGTTTTGTCTGTCCTCAGTATCGAATTGAATTTGCAGTTTATCTACAAATTCTTACAGAAATCTGGGCGCACGGTCATTTAAAGAACCCATTGCGCAGTGGCATTGTTGGCTCTCGTAGTGTTCCGTAGCATGAGCAGCTGTTCCTGATCACGTTCTGTTACCCCCCGCCCCCCAAAATCTAAAGAACCTAACGCGAACGAAAAGACAAACGACTGCAACATGCTAGGTCCACTTCGATCGCCTCCTCCGGCTGCCAACACAAACCGGTCGAGTTCCACATCCCAGTGCAGTCAGTGTTTTGGTGTTTGTGAGCTTGTTTACAATGGGTCAACTATTAATTACGTGTAATTGTGTATGGGGTGCTTCACTCTGCAAACTAAGGGAAGAATCGAGTGCACGCACCATTTTTTATGTAGATACGTCTCAGTTTTGTATGAAAAAGCAGTAATTAATTTGCTTGTGAAAGTAAGCAGATTTAAATAAGAGATGATTTTCGAAAAGTTATAAAACATTATGGGCATTTGAGGTACGGTGGAAACGCATCTACCTTAAGCTAAG